CCCCCCTTTCCTACCCTTCCCCCCCTCCCCCCTCCCCCCTCCCTCTCTCTCTTCCTTTGCTTTCCCTCCCTCACCTTTCCTGTCCTCTAGGGATGCCTATCAAGGGAGGCCCAGCACGGGGAAACCTCATTGTCGAGTTTGCGCTCACCGACTAGCTGGCCACTGTCGGAGGGAACTTGAGCTGCAGCAACAGGCGACTCACTGACTCGTGACTTTCAGTGAGTCAATTTACAATAAATCACTTGATTATCGTCACTATCATCCCATCAGTGCTAGCGCGAGTCTACCAGGCTCAGCGGCCGGCGCACTCAGCCACGGTGACTGCTTCGGCCTGGCCCGGGCGCGCACTCGGATCATCGGATCATGCAACTGAGCGGCGGCCCGGTCGGACGCCGGGCCCCGGCGATCCCACCGTCACGGTGGACCGCCCCCGACGGCCGGGCCGCATGGCGTACGGCGCCGCCGCCCGGCTGAGCCCGGGGCCGGGCTCCGAGCCGAGAGCCCTGCCAGGCACCGGGAGTCCGATCGGCGATCAACCGGGCCCGGAGCCTGGCACAGGGCCGGCCGCGGGCGGACAGTCACGGGCCGAACTGACTGACTGGAACTAGTACTAGCCTAGTAGCAACTAGACTGAACTCGAGCAACTCGGTTGATCAGTGACGGTGAACAAAATTACGGTATAGGGTGTGACCGGTGGTTTTCCCTGGGAAATTATGGGGTGGGTGATCACCCTACGATACTTTCTCCTAGAACATTCATGAGAAAAGTGTGGGTACTCGCACCGCACGTTGTTACACCACCCTACCCTTCACAAGAACAGGAAAGAGTACGGGTGAAGAAAGCCATCGACCCTGACCTTCTTGTTTTCAAGCGACCCGTGCCTTGTACTGTACAACCGGTAAATACAAGCGTATGAAAGTGATAAAGAATGGGGTAGGGTGTACTACCTCACCCATTCTTTGGTCTGTATCATCACCCCCCTACCCCCTCTATTTATTCGGGCATGTACAAGACTTTATGACTTGATTTCCTCGATGACCCCCACCCCGTACCCCCTTTCACTACCACCCCACGTAACTACACCCCACCCCTGGACACAATATCTTACATTCTTGGACACCCCCTACTTAGTCTTAAAAGTACCCACCCATGTAACAATATTGACCGCCCCCGTTTGAGGACACCCCCTCTGGTTCAGTACCCACCTATATCAGAAACAACGCTTCCACTCGCCATGTTCTGGTGTCCCCACCCGTCATTTCATTTGGAAAAATCCAAAGGGGGTTCGTGTACCAGAACAGGGGTGGATCACGAGAGATGGTACTTTTGTACCGGGTCTTACATAGGTAAAGTATAATAAAAGGTTGGGTGGTATTTGATTTTGGAGGGTACTTGGAATTAGCGACATGGATGTAAGGGTAGTAGAGCCCAAGGAAGGTGCTTTTGATTGGAAATTAGGGGGTGGGGGTATTAGTGGAGAGGGTAGGAGGGTGGAGGGTAGAGGCTCTTAAGGAGGACTGGGGGTAGGGTGTCGCCGTCCTTCGCCATGCTCCGCGCGATTCTCGTACTCGCCGCCGCTGCTTCCGCGTCAGCCTTCGCTCCTGCTGCTCTTCCTACCAGAGCTGCCAGGTCCAGCACCCAGGGTAAGCATCTTTCAGAACTGTGCACTGCGATGAGAGGAGAGGGAGAAGCGGGAGAGAGGGAGGAGAGGATCTGTTCGATGGGGATAAATCCGAGGGGCTGAGGATGGGGATGATGATGCAGTGAAGACAGAAGAATCGTGCAAGGAAGATTAGGAGGATGTTGTCTGATGTTGGAGACGTGGGAGGATGTGGTTGTAGCTGTCTCTGTCTTATCTACTGGAAGAAAGGCACAAAGTGACGCCCCGTGAGTGGGGCCGGGCATGGGAATGACATGTTTTCAATGTGCAAAGAGGGGTGATGATTGAAGTCAGATTGCACGTGTGTCGATGTGTACAATCATGAAATGTTATATTGATCGTGTTTTGGTTGCTTTCTTTCACTCTGTCGTGTCTCCTGTGTTGGTGGCGACATGCTGTTGATGAAAATGGCATGACAACCACGTCCTGTAGTTGCATGAGAGGAAGATGACGTTGCCTTCTTGTTCGCTTTATTGTTCCTGTTGCGTCTGATCCTGCGGTTGTTCACTTGATGTTTCCTGCTCGTCTCACTGCCATCGTCATTTGTGACGAGTTTTCCTGACAACGTTGCGATAGGTCTCAAGATGCAGGACCGCTCGTACGCTGTCCCCTTCCTGTCCCGCCCTCCTGCTCTTGACGGAACCATGGCTGGCGACGTTGGCTTCGACCCGCTCGGCTTCTCCAACTACTTCGACCTCAAGTGGCTCCGCGAGGCCGAGCTCAAGCACGGACGCGTTTGCATGCTCGGAACGCTCGGCTTCTTGGTCCAGGAGAAGTTCCAGCTCCCCCTTCCCGGCTTCGGCGAGAAGCTTCCCATCGAGGCCTTCTTCACTGTCCCCACCGGCGGCCTCTGGCAGATCTTCTTCACCCTCGGAGCTATCGAGATCCTCTCCAACAACGGCAGAATCAGCCCCGGAGACATGTTCGCTGACGGCCGTGCTCCTGGCGACCTCGGCTTCGATCCCCTCAACCTCTCTGTAAGTTTCTCCTCCTGTCTTCCCCATGTTGTTGTCTTTCCTTCAAGCATGATTTCTTGCTCTGACCTCCTGTCTGCAGTCTGACGAAAGCGCTCTCCGCCGCTTCGAGCTTGCTGAGCTCAAGCACGGCCGCCTTGCTATGATCGGCCTCGGAGGCATGTTGCACCAGCAGCTCTTGACCAAGCAGCCCACCCTCGAGCAGCTTGCCAACTTCCAGCCCCTTCAGTAAACAAGGAGATTGTAATAAATAGAGCATGGCAGATGTGAATGTATGTATTGCAGATGGTGTTCAATCTTGAAGATATGTTGGTTAGTGGATTTTAAACCCAGTGGCTAAAATCTCGGAGTGTACAGCACGCACTGATGTCCGTAGATGACAAATCACATCCAGACAGCTGGAGATTGTTTGATCTGGCAACTCTGCCAGTGCACTCGGTACTAGATGCAGGTAAGACCTCATTATAATCTAAAACCACAATTCAAACCTGTACAAGTTACACATGACCTGAGCGGAAAGCTAAGTCATGAAAAGAAATCTAGAGAAGAAAGGGAACAACGCGATGATTCGCGGTAGATATTTTCAGTATGCATGTGAAAGCATTCTGATTGATGCCTCCTTCACGAAAAATCGACGTGTCATGCACTTGTTATCACGGTCTTCTTGAGGAATTTGCTGAAATCGATGCTGGCCAGGGCTGACAGATCGGGTTTGATCTCTGGGGAAGTAGGTTACACAGATGACGCATACAAGCCATGCATCATCATCAACACCACCACCACCACCACCATCATTATCAACATCATTACCATCACCATCACCATCACCATCACCATCACCACCATCATCAACAACAACACCTCGTCATCAAGCAGCTATCAACAAATCTCACTTTCAGGTCCAACAATAGTATTGGGCAGCAGGGTGTCCTTGGGGCCCAGCCCGATTCCATCCGCCGTCATGATCGCCACGACGATCCTCCTAGTCGTCTTGTCACTCAGCTCCTCCTTGATCAACTCCGCCAGGCTGGGCAGAACCGGAACGTCCTCAACGCAGAAGTCGTGCTGCGCGTTCCTCTCCAGCTCCTCCTTGAACTCGTTGGACTTCCCCGTCGTCCCATGCATCATCCCCAGGAAGCCCCGCAGGCCCCTCCGCACTGCCAGCACGTTGCGCAGCTTCAAGCTGTACTCCTCCATCTCCACTTCGAACACCTTCCTCCTCCTCGCGTGCACGCGGAGGATCGCCGATGCCAGCCGCTTGCATGCAAACGTCTTCGTCTCGGCGCAAGCATGAGCGACGATGGCCTGGAACCAGCCCAGCTCGTTGACGTGGTTCTTAATGCTGATCCTCTCTACCTCCTCCGCCTGGTCGATCACTGCACGGATTTTGGACCTCAGCCTTTCCATCGTCCCCAGGAACCTCAGGACCCCCCGCTGCAACGTGACGACGCGCATGCGGAACATGCGTATCGCCTTGACGAACATGAGCTTCGGCACTTCTTCCTTGAGCCAGCCAGCGATGAGGTCCGACTGCCTTCCCTTCTTCCTGATCCTCCGCGCAACCAACTGCCTGCGGAGGAAGAAAAGGATCCTGAACGCTGCCATGTGCATGCAGTTTTTAGGATTCTGGACCACCCGGACCAGCTCCCGCAGCTTCATCAGCTTCCGCTCCCTCTGGAACCTCCTCCAGGCTTGCTGGATCTTCTTGCATCTGCGACGTAGATGCGAACGCGGCGGTCCTTGTCGAGCACCTGCTGCATCGCCTGCAGCGCGCGGACGGAGCAGACGATGGGGAGCCAGGCGCGCATGAGCAACTTCGCCTCCTCCTCCTTCTCGCGCAGCAGCTTCCTCGTCTCCTTCCTCCTCCGCTGCATCTCGAGCTTCTCCGCCTCCTCGTGCCTGATGATCACTTTCCTCTGCAGCACCTGGCATCGATTGATGGTGTTCTGCACAGCATTTCCCAGCAGCTCCTCCCGTTTCTGCCGCGGCGTGCTGGCAACGAGGGGCAGCCGCCCCATGCGCTTGGCACGGACCATGGGGGAGGAGCGGGAGGTCATAGGGGTAGTCGCTACCTCCGGTGACGTCTGCCCATCGCTCGTATCCCTCTCTAGGCTGAAAATATCGTTGAGCGACTGGGAGAGACTCGGTTGGCTAGCTGACGCTATGATCCTGCTTCTCCATTTATGCTTATCGCCCCACCTGGCGCTCCTTCCCACCACCCTCTCCTCCTCTCCCGCCGTCGGAGACAGCCAGTCGGTCTCCATGCCTGCCTTGGGGGTACTGCTCGACGACAGCGCAGAGTCGGAGGCAGGATGGCCCCTCGTCCTAGGGTCCAATAAAGTATCAGCACAAGACAGCTCTTGCTCCCGCTACGTACCTCTCGGTCACAGACCCGGTCCTCTGAAACCGCCTCTGCTTCTGCTTCTCCAGCATGACCTCCAGGTCGAGGGTCGGGATGGCAACGGTTAGCGTCTTCTTGACTGAAGTCACAACGTTGGGAATGCAGACCGTCTTGTTCCGCTCATGATGGGGAGCTGAAGACAGAATCGCATCAGTTCCCCTCCTCTGTATACGTACGTCAAAGACAAAACTGACCGATGGACATGCTGTGGTTGTTGTTGCGCACGGAACTTGTGATGTAGTTGTACCTGTCGCTGCAGCGGCCAGTCATGCAGGCCAGGTTCCTGGTCACTGTCGTTAGCGGGAGATCATGAAAAATCAGAGTCTGAAGAGAAGGATGAAAGGAGACAAGCAGGAGGGAGGGAGGGAGGGAGGGAGAATGGGTGGGTGGGTGTGGTTGAATGTAGGAAGGGAGGGGGCGACGGGAGGGAGGGAGCGACGGAGCGAGCG